AATGTGAAATATATTTCACTTGAATTCATCTCTGCCTAGTTAATCCCTACTTAGAAGTCATAAGCTGCAACAACTACAGCAGTCATTCCGAACATAGACTTTTTTAACTATCACTATTATTAGCTGTTAAATTTATTATTTAAGTATGTACAACCCTTGGCGAAAATTAGGGAATCACCGGCCTCGGAGGATGTTCATTCAGTTGTTAAATTTTGTAGAAAAAAGCAGATCACAGACATGATGTATAACTAAAGTCATTTCAAATGGCAACTTTCTGGCTTTTAGAAACACTATAAGAAGTCAAGAAACAAATTGTGCAGTCAGTAACGGTTATTTTTTAGACCAAACAGAGGGAAAAAATATGGAATCACTCAATTCTGAGGAAAAAATTAGGGAATCATGAAAAACAAAAGAACGCTCCAACACATCACTAGTATTTTGTTGCACCACCTCTGGCTTTTATAACAGCTTGCAGTCTCTGAGGCATGGACTTAATGAGTTGCAAACACTATTGTCTTGACGCTCTGATGTCTTTCTTGGTCTACCAGTATGTTTGCCTTTAACAACCTTCCCATATTGTTTGTATTTGGTCCAGATTTTAGACACAGCTGACTGTGAACAACCAACATCTTTTGCAACATTGCGTGATGAATTACCCTTTTTTAAGAGTTTGATAATCTTCCCCTTTGTTTCAATTGACATCTCTCGTTTTGGAGCCATGATTCATGTCAGTCCACTTGGTGCAGCAGCTCTCCAAGGTGTGATCACTCCTTTGTAGATGCAGACAAACGAGCAGATCTAATTTGATGCAGGTGTTAGTTTTGGGGATGAAAATTTACAGGGTGATTCCATAATTTTTTCCCCAGAATTGAGTGATTTCATATTTTTTCCCCTCTGCTTGGTCTAAAAAAGTAATCGTTACTGACTGCCACAATTTTTTTCTTGATTTCTTATAGTGTTTATTAAAGCCAGAAAGTTGTCATTTGGAATAACTTTAGTTTTGTGTCATGTCTGTGATCTGCTTTTTTTCTACAAAATTAAACAACTGAATGAACATCATCCGAGGCCGGTGATTCCATAATTTTCGCCAGGGGTTGTATTTAAACCTTTAATAATAAAAGCAGGCGTGCCTTTAACGTAGAGTTTCCTTGCGATGCTTAATTTAGCGCGGTTTAAAATTAAACTTTGTAGTCAACGTGTGGCCGTTCTTACCCAAACGCTCGAAATTCCACAGGAAGTCTACGGAATTTGGGCCGAACATTCAAGTATCTTTGATGTTGGAAAGTTCCATACTTTAGTGTTGGATCAAACTAAAAATAAATTTTATATTTTAATTGGCCAATTAAAAATAAATTTCAAAGCAGCCAATACTTATGTATGACGAAATCCAAATTAACGGGTTTCGTAATCATGGGAAAGTTGGATTCGTAGACGGGATTCGTAATCGCGCGATGGTGATATATCCTGGTAATGAAATATTTTTAGGGATGGAATCGTGTTGCTTTGAAATATATATTAGTGTATGGACTCAACATATGAAATTTGTTTATTGGTAATAGTTTATTTTATTGTAAAAATATATTTAAGTATCTTTTACATTTCAAAAATATATTTTAGATTTGCTTATAAGACATGATTAGCATAGGATAGTCATTTCAAATAAGCTGATATGTCTAGTGAGATCTCCTCAAAATTGGAAAATTTTTATTTCTACTTCTTTTTTTTCCGAAATCAGGAACGAAATGTTTACTAATCTGAACCTTAGGAGACGATTTAATTCCCTTTTAAAAATAATTTCTCAAATATATTTTTTAAATAATTTTCTAGAAAAGAAATTTTGATGAGTAATTTTTTCACTAATAATTAACTCAAAAATAATTTTCCAAAAAATAATTGTCTCGAAATAAAATTTGTCAAAAGTAATTTTTTGGAAGTACTTTGTAAAAAGTAACTTTCCAAGTTTTATGAATAATATTTTCCATATTCCGTGGTTTTTGTGGGAACTTGCTGAGTTCATACGATGTCAAGTTTTCGTCTCGTAACCATCACTTACTATGACGAGACATGAAATTCGTAAATATAATATTGATTACGTACATTAAATCTGATGATGTCCATTCTGTTTCTGATACATATTATATATATTAATAATTTTGCTTATATTCATACCCCCTCAGGGGGACTTCTGACGCGTGTCTGTGCGCGTCAGAAGTCCTATGGGATTCCCCCCTCCTAGGGGGATTGTTCCTGAGCGCCCCACCGCTGAGCTCGCGGTGTCTGACTGCAGGTCTCAGTTGTGGGGTTAAGTTATTATGTAAGTAGGATTCCTTACATTAAGTTATTATGTAGGTAGGATACCTTACATCAAGTTATTATGTAGGTAGGATACCTTACATTAAGTTATTATGTAGGTAGGATACCTTACATTAAGTTATTATGTAAGTAGGATTCCTGACATTTCCCTTCTCTGTCTCTCTCGTGCGGGCGGCCGACGTCCCGTGTAAGCGATCTCTTGTTCGAGTGTCTTCGTTTCTGTTACTCTTCACCTATCCCTCCTTGTCACCTGTCCCTCCTTGTCACCTGTCCCTCCTTGTCACCTGTCCCTCCTTGTCACCTGTCCCTCCTTGTCACCTGTCCCTCCTTGTCACTTGTCCTCCTTGGCACCTGTCACGCCTCGGCACCTGTCCCTCCTTGTCACCTGTCCCTCCTTGTCACCTGTCCCTCCTTGTCACCTGTCCCTCCTTGTCACTTCGTCTCTTTGAGATGCTAACGCTGGATTCTTCGAGCCAGCTTCAGCGGGCTGGACAATCGAGACCTTCCGCTCCTTATGGGTGATGACCTATTTTTTTATTTAAAAATTTTTCGATAACTAAGACCTTCCACCTCTATGGTGATGTTCATCTTGACTTTCGGTGCGAGATAGCTAAATAGCTGAAGCGCTAGTTAACATTTGGCCACTAAACTAACTTTTATTCATTTTATGCAAGCTTTAGGTATCGTTGAACACGTATGCATACACGTACACGTAGGTGTACACTAGAGGTGCTATGCGCGTTCGTTGGCACGATGCGTACTGCATACGCCTATTTATAGAGGGCGAGCGTAACTGTACGCATGGCGTGCGTGACTGTGTGCATGGTATGCGTAGCTGCGCTCTAACTCAGAGAGCTACACTCAGAAAATTTTGTCCATTTAGCGCTGCAGCACCAGCACTTGTGAAGGTCGTCCTGATCTAGTTTGGCGAGGCAAAAAGGACATGTCATTTGGACATGTCCCATTTATTTTTCGGAGTGTACAACTGCCCAGCCCCGCACAACTGCGTGCAGATGTACAAGCCGCTGCTGTAATGCATGTACAGCTGCTGCAGCTGAAGCTACCGCTGCAGCTGCAGTACGCGCTCGGCAGCTGCAGTGACAGCTGCGCCCACCGCTCGCCTCTGCCCGTGACAGCGCCCGTCACGAGTAACGATGTCACCCGTGACTTTTAAACCCGTAATTCATTTATCCGTTATTTATCCGACCCGTGGTTCATTTACCCGTGACTTTTAAGCCCGTGATTCATTTATCCGTGATTTCTACACCCGTGATTCATTTATCCGTGATTTCTACACCCGTGATTCATTTATCCATTATTTCTACACCCGTGATTCATTTATCCATTATTTCTACACCCGTGATTCAGTTATTCAAGATTTTATAGCCCTTGACTTCTGATCCCGTGATTTATGTAACAGTGTTTTATGAGCCCGTGACTTATGCATCCGTGGTTTCTGAAACTGTGTTATTGTGCTAACAGTTTTGTACGTTCCGTCATAATTAGAAAAATGTTTCGCATTTTTAACTTGCTAAATTAATTTACTTAAGTATATTTTAAAAATATCTGCTTATTAAATTTGCATTCGATCAAACTACGAATCCGATCAACAGTTGAAGTAAAAAGAACTTGACAGCTTGGCAGCTGTCAACTCCCGTCTGACGAGCCGGACAAATAGCACGTGTATCTTTATACAACAATTATTTTATAAAAAGATTACATACAAAATTATATATAAAATAATTTTATATGACTTAGCAGCCATGCCAATTCAAAGGTTGTTTTTAGAACTGTTGACTGTTTCAATAATTAATGCCTTTGATTTATTTATTGGAACGCTCTCCACAAACTTTAAATAAATTGCAAATTAAGTCCATATCGTTCAGCTGTGAATTATTGCGCGTTCAATTATCACTAAATAGAATAATAAATAAATTGTATATCATATTTTATCTGTTGAGTTTTGAGTCAATATTTGTAATACATTTTGCAAGCTAAAAGGAAATGAATTCGTCACTGCAAAAAAGGGTTTGAGTCATATTGTCCAAATAATGACTCTTTATTTGCTCGTAGCGCTCATACAACAATTTCCCGATCCTGGACGCGACAGGATGCAAAAAGGACGTAAATATTTTTGAAAAATAATTCTCATTTTTGTGAGTGTACCAAAAAAGAACCCGTAACCAGACAGTGGTTGATCGAATCATTAAAAAATCATTACAATGTTATTCATCATTGAATGGTAGTTTATCATTAAATCGCAATTCGTCATTACAAGGTAACTCATTTGGGGGAATTCATATTAATGCTTTTGATGGTAATGATGGGAGCGGGTAATGGATGGCCGCTGATAAACCTCCTCTAAATTCATCGTCGTCTTATACTCATTGGATGAGTCAGCGGTCCCTGAATTAGACTCCCCTGACTAATATTCAGCCCTGGGCTAAATTTAATCGCTAGAAGAAACAAGTTATTACTCATCAAAGCGGGTAAACAATCGCCGTGTTTACAACGCTGCCGACAGATTTATTAAATCTGCTAATAATATTATTATTATTCTAATTTTTTATTTATTTACTTTTAGTATCACGAGGACTCGTGCAGAAATTTAATAAAAATATTTAATGGAAAATTAAAAAAAAGTTAAAGTTTCGTTTATTTTTCAGTCGCAATAAAATCTTCCTTGATAGTCGAAAGATAGCTTAATAAATTGTTATACATAGAGATACTAGAATCTTACTAGTTTTCTTACCAGTAGAATTCTTAATCATTATCTGAAAGTTACACTTTAGTAGTTACATTTTTTTAATGTAATGCCCTAATGTTATTGAATTAAGTCGTGTAATTAAAACATCTTCTCAATTCATAAAAAAGCTTTATTTTGAATAAATTAAAATCTTTATTAGTATAAGCATAATGTGTGCTCTACGCTCAAGTTCTATGATATTTACGGAGAACCGCAACAATTTGCGACCGGTTCGCTCATGCCCAAAAACCGAAACTGCAGAAGGGACCAACCGCAACCTGTTACTCAGGACCAAAAAACTTTCACTGGAGTCAGATTCTCTTATGAAAAGTTTGCAAGTAAAATATGAATATACCGAGCCCAAACCTCCACCGGTTATAGGCCTGGGAGTCAGAAGATATAAAGGTTCCTTGAGTTACTTAGGTCCAAAAAGGGAGGACTATCTTGAAAAAGATGAATCTGGAAAGCCAAATGCAGAAGTACGGCGAAAAAAATCAGTTATCGAAAACACCCATGAACTTATGAACATTAAAGAAGAAACTAACGAACTCCTGGCATCACATTCGGAAAAAGTTCACCAGGACGAAGCAGAGTTGATGTTGGAAGTTGACCGAAAGTTGGAGGAAGTTGAACTTGAGTGCGCGAAACTTTGGTCTTCTTTAGAAGAACTTGATCTTGATTTAGGAAATGATTTAGATGGAACTGATGACGTGGATATAAATGAATTAGAAGCTGCTTCTTCTGGCAACATCGCGGCTCTGAAAGGTCTTCTCAGGAACGGGTGCGACGTTAATAAAACAGACGTCGACGGTCAGACGGCCGTGCAACTGGCTTGTTCTAACGGGCACGCCTTGGCCGTACGACTTCTCGCCAGACATGGTACGTCCTGACCGTTAGATCTCTCTGCTTAACCCTTAGACGTCGCTTTTTACCCTTTATACGTCCCTGTTTACCCATTCAAACGTCCCTGTTTAACTTTTTACACGTCATTATTAAACCCTTGAAACGTTGCTGTTCAACTTTTTAGAGGTCGCCGTTTAACCCTTTAGACGTCCTTGTTTAACCGTTTAGACAACGTTGTTTAACCCTTTAACATTCTTGTTTAACCCTTTAGACGTCACTATTTCCTCTTTAGACGTCACTGTTTACTATTTAGACGCCGCCGTTTTACAATCTGTACGAGGCTGTTTAACATTTCCATTTAACTTTTCCATTTAGTCGCCACGTTACAGTTGATAATGAAAAAATAACACTTGACAGTTGCAGTTTAGAAATTCAAGTTATAATGTCGAGTGTGGTGATTTTTTTATCGTTAGACGATTATTTTATTAATAAATAAGTAAATAAAATATGACAACAAATAATGAAATAATCAGTAGTAAATAGTGCAATAAAATGATAATATTGATAATTACGACGTCTATTGATAATTAGTCGCTACCTGTTTATTATTAGTAAGTAAGTGAACAAAATAAGATATAACAACAAATATTAAAATCACATAGTCAGTATTAAATATGGTAATAAAATGATAATATTGATTATTACGACGTCTCAGGCGCGGCGATGGACGTGGTGGACGACAGCGGACGCTCGCTGCTACATCGGGCGGTGATGGACGGCCATCAGCTGCTGGTGGCCGTGCTGGTGGACGCCGGCGTCCCTCAGCATCTGAGGGACGCCAGGCGAGGACGAACCGCTCTACACGTCGCCGCCCTCGAGGACGAATGCGTCATGCTTAAGGTGGTCGTAAGATAAGGTGGTCGTAAGATAAGGTGGTCGTAAGATAAGATCGTAAGATAGGGTGGTCGCATAGCTAAGGTGGTCGTAAGATAAGGTGGTCGTAAGATAAGGTGGTCGTAAGATAAGGTGGTCGCAAGATAAGGTGGTCGTAGAGATAAGGTGATCGTAAGATAAGGTGATCGTAAGATAGGGTGGCCGTAGAGATAGGATGGTCGTAAGATAAGGTGGTCGTATAGATAAGGTGGTCGTAGAGATAAGGTCGTAAGATAGGGTGGTCGTAAGATAGGGTGGTCGTAAGATAAGGTGGTCGTAAAGATAAAGTGGTCGTAGAGATGACAGTTTATGAACCCCCACTTGTTGTCCCAATTATAAGATAACAGTTTATGACAACAATTCGTTCTCATCAACAGTTGCTGCTCCGCGCGATAACAGACGACCCTTGGGGCAGCCAACATTTGTTATCTGTAACAGATAAGGCGAGTTAACCGTTGTTATCTATAGCAGTTCAGGTGAAATAATAGTTGTTATATGCAGTGGATTGGGCAAGATAACAGTTGTTATTCATAACTGATAAGACACGATAACAGAAGTTTTCGCTAACTACTTCGGTCTGGCACAACAGAGGCTCTATAAAATTTATATAAATTTATTAACAAAATTTATCTATAAAATTTGCTTCACCGAAAACTTTCGTCTAAATCTTGTTTAGTTGATTTATATAAATTTGAAAATTGCTGAGAACATAACATGGTTATTATTTATGCAGCTTTTGTTGTAATGGTTATTTTATAAGCGTAATATGCTAAAAAAATATTAGTTAATACAAAGCGAGCTGTATAGTTGAGACTATGTAGTGTACTTGTGTGTTTGTTGTTCATACAACGCTTCTGTTTCGTCCATGGCAGACAAGTGTCATTCCTGTGACATATTCACTAATGTATACAGAATACAACAAGCATTCATTAGGCCTGCACACACATCTTCATTCACACACACACACACATCCGGAACATGTGCTACATGTATTAGGCCAATCGCCGATTATTAAAATCGTGAAATATTCACAGCTTGTTGCGAGTCTCGAACACGCAACTCACTGCTCTGATTTGTTTGCCTGCCCGGCCTCTTTGAGCTTAACCGTCACAGGTAGCTGGGATCGAACCCGCACCTCCCTGCTCCAACCCTGGTACTCTGCAATGTAAGAACCTAACTGCCCAGAGTTACAGTTATTACTAGACAACCCTGCACAAGTAATACGCTACATGTATTCATATGTTACATATATTTATATACTGTTTATATTATTGACATGGTGCCCCGGCAGGACGGACGCACTCCTCTCCACGCGGCCGCCGGACGCGGACTGTTGGCGGCGGCACGACTGCTGCTCGCCGGAGGCTTCAGTGTCACGCTCAGAGACGCTCACGGCCACACGCCCATGCACGCTGCGCTCATGCTCACCCACGCTCATGTGAGTCATGCTTATGTGGGTCACGCTCACCCACGCTCATGTGAGTCATGCTTATGTGGGTCACGCTCACCCACGCTCGTGTGAGCCACGCTCGTGTGAGCCACTCTCATGTGAGCCATGCTCACGCACGCTCATTTGAGTGGGTGCGTCTGTGGTGAGAGACTCTGTCTCTCGCCCCAGCTCCCGGGTTCTCTGTCTCTCGCCCCAGCTCCCGGGTTCTCTGTCTCTCGCACCCAGCTCCCGGGTTCTCTGTCTCTCGCACCCAGCTCCCGGGTTCTCTGTCTCTCGCACCCAGCTCCCGGGTTCGAGTCCCACTGAGGACAAGTTATTCCGGGAAGCTCAGCTCATGGTCAACTCAGCCATTCATCCAATTCTGGTTGATAAATGAGTACCTGGCTTGTCCAGGGTGTTGTGTAATGCAATAAAATGGTTCTGGCGGGTCAGCGAGCCAGTGATGGTCGTAGAACTACCAGTGGCACCAAGTGCCCGGAAAAACTGACCTATCACCGCCCCTCCCTAGTCGCCACTTCCAGGATGGGCTATTACAACAACAACTACATGCTCACGCACGCTCGTGTGAGCCACGCTCATGTGAGTCACACTCACGCACGCTCATGTCAGTCATGCTCACGTACGCTCATGTCAGTCACACTCACGCACGCTCATGTCAGTCACACTCACTCACGCTCATGTCAGTCACACTCACGCACGCTCATGTCAGTCACACTCACGCACGCTCATGTCAGTCACACTCACGCACGCTCATGTCAGTCACACTCAC